ATTCTTTATTCAATGCTTATATTTGGTTTAGTATTTTTCTACTGGGCTGTGGCTCACCCTTTATGGGAACATCATTTTCAGGTTCAGGTGATAAGAGGATGTCTCGTATGAGGAGAGACCGGTTCGGGTCTTGGATAGACGGGATCAAGTTTTGCGAGGCAAGACCATCCCTTTGGTAAAGGTTTTGTGGAAACATCACGGGGTGGAGGAAGCCACTTGGGAACGCGAGTTGGAGGTCCGAGAGAAGTATCCGGATCTATTTGTAGATGCTTGAGCATATGTTGCTTATTTTGTTGTAATATTGCACCTTAAGTGTATTGAATATAACTTAAGTTGTGAAACATAGTTTATGTTTTGGTTAATGGAAGTATTTTGAAACTTGCCTCATAATGGAAGTTTAGTGTAACACTGCATATGTTGAATGTGTTGTAGAATTAGAGTTATATCATGAGATTGATTATGATATGGAAATGGGAATCACATATATTGAAAACTGTTGAATTTGAAAGGAAAATGCAAGTTGTTATGTATAATGTGTTATGCCTTTTAAAAAAAAAAAAAAAAAAAAAAACTTTTGAGATGAGGCAAATCCACCAAACCCAAGCCCAACTATAGCGATCTTGGTTTTCCTTTCCTTTGTATACTGTATTCCAGACTTGGTTCCGTGGACTTGTTGTTCTATCATTATCACTTCTAGTCTTTGCTTTTGTATTTGAGTCTTGGGTTGTGTTGGACAGGTTTGAAACAGGATGGTTCCACTTGAAACCAAAAGGGTGATGCCCAGATTTTGGCTTTCACGCTCGAGCGGAAGTTTTAACGCTCGAGCGGGCTTCGTTGTTGCTTCTCCGCTCGAGCGGGAGTTTTGACGCTCGAGCGTGATTTTCCATCTCCCAGTACTTTGCTCTGCAGTTCGTCCGCTCCAGCGGTAATTTTCTCCGCTCGAGCGTGATCCCTTATTTTTGTCCCTCCGCTCGAGCGGAGATTTTGACGCTCGAGCGGGTACCATCGCCTGCAAAACTTCTGGAAGTGTGCAATCTACGCTCGAGCGGATCTTTTTACGATCGAGCGTGAGTCTGTGTCTGACGCTCAAGCGGGGTTTTCCACGCTCGAGCGGAGAGTTGACTACATCAGTCCGAGATTTCACTTTTTGGATCACTTTTTGACCTACTTCTTTTCTCTTAACTTTTAAAAACCGCCACTTGAGAATTTCTCTCTCTACTCTTACCTTCTCTCTAAGATTTGATCTATTTCCGATAGTCTTCTACCCTAGTTCCTTTGGAAGAAAGGTAGAGCTTCACGAGGGCTTCCTTTTAATTTGAAAAAGAGAGGATTTGGAGCACTTTGGATTTTGGGTCATCATCTCCATCTTCTCCATTTGGGTTATTTTCTTCGAGGTAGGGATTTCCTACTCCATCTTATAAGTTTTATTCTAAGTTTTAGTATTTTGATATGTTGGGGGTACTTTGGTAATTTTGGGAAAAACGCTAGTTGTATTAATAAATTAATTTATATAATTAATTTAAGGAGATTGGGGAAGTATGGTTAAATTCATGGAATTGAGAAATTCATTGATTAAATGGTGTAGTTGGATAATTTAAATCACTCGCCTATTGAATTGTCGATATATTTATTTTCAGTTTAGAAATAACTGTTTTGGGCTATTGGTGGAGGATAGTCGTGATTGTTGTAGATATTACATGAGGATTAGGTTGAATTGAAAAGGGGTGAATATCATAGTGAATTTGGTTAGGGGGTGTGATTGTGGTTTTATTATGTTGGCTTGTGTGTCTTTGGTGAAAGTCCAAAAACCCGCACGGTTAGGTGCCAATCCTTCGGTTAGTATCGGTAAAATGGTTTTAGTTGTGCTTGTATAGCCTACTAGTAAACACATACCTAGAGATTCCCAGTGTTATGTATCCACTGCCCTGTTTTCTGTTACAAAAGGATTATTTTATGAATTGATATATAATCTGGCATTGCATAGTTTTGAAGTATGAAGTGTTTTGATATGAGCCTGAGTCTCATTTGTTTTGTTGATATTGAAAGTAATGTGAATATGATATATAGTTCACTGTTGTAAGTTTGGCCAGGTTCTGAGCCATGTTGATAATAATGGAAAGTGAAATGTGTCTTAGACATTAGTGTCATGAGACTGTATAATGATACAATTGATTATCTTGGTTAACCATCTATTGAATGCTATAGCTTTATTCAATGCTTATATTTGGTTTAACATTTTTCTACTAGGCTGTGGCTCACCCTTTATGGGAACATCATTTTCAGGTTCAGGTGATAAGCTACCTCCAAGGACTTAGCTTGGAAGGGTTGGACTTTTTTTTTGGATTTTGAAGACTATCTTTAGTTAGTTGTTTTTATTTGATAGTACGTGTAAACATTCAAGCCTAGGGCTATACTTGTATTTGAGTTAGAACTCATACTTTTGTGTCCAAGTGTTGTCTTGGAAAGATGTAAGCCCGTAGGGCATTTAATTTGATGTTACATGTAATGCTTTTATTTAGTAATACTGTGATGAATGAGATAATGAATTGTTTTCTTTAAATATGACATGTCAATGATATATATATAATGGGTTTATTTTGAGGGTGTGACACCAACAATTACAGACAACCCCCATAATGGAAAATCCCCTTGTTCTGTTTCTCTTTCCCCCTGCTGTTTTCTACCTAATTTATACCAAACATTGAAAAAATTTGCTGCTCAAGAAGTGAACATAGCAATACATCAGAAATACAATAAACAGCAACAAGAAGGGAGCTGAAGAATCATCCTGAAATGCATTTTTAAGTATTTTGAGCACCCAGAAATTTCCAATTAAAAGAAAAACAATATTAATGTACACCACACAATGTGATTCAGCTTGGTACAAACAAATTTATAATCGTAAACACAACCCTATAATTCAGAGCATTCAATTAATTACATACAATTGAGGCATTGTTTATTTGCTTGGCTGTTAACAAGGGAAGATTTCGGAAATGGGATATAAAATTTAAAAAGGGATTAAACACGCTAAAACTCGGTACCATCAGTCACAGGGATTCTCTTGGTTTGCATTGCTGTTACGAGACCACTGTTTTCTTTACCATTAGGCCATCTAGAGACCCTCTTACCTTTGTTTTTCCATAGCTTTCCAGCCACCAGCTTAAGTCCACTCCTTAGGTAAGTCATCATTAGTGTCACAAGCTCCCTGCAGAATGAAAAATACCGATAAGATCATGAATTACTCAAATTTTCAAGAAAAAAAATTACAAGTGCAGCAAAAAAAAAAAATTCTAGTTCCACAAAATTGATACTAAACAGGCTATTTTAGTAACTTTTTGGATTTTTTGGCTAAAATATGAGGTAAAAAAAACTAGTATGTTTGGAGTAGCTTTTTGGCTTTTTACGAAAAGATATGCAAAAAGTAGAGAGAAAAGGGAATCTTTGACTTTTTGGTATATTTATAGGCTTTTTTGTTTTTTTAGTAACTTTTTAACTTTTAGGCTAAAATAGCTACTTGCCAAACGAGGCCTAAGGTTACTAATTAAAAAAAAGAAGGAAATTATACTTACAATGGTGAGCAAGGAGATAGACCTCCCTTCATGAAGAAGACGAACAAGAATGAATCATAATACTGGCCATTAATGAAATAAAAATCAGACAACCTTCGCACACACTGGAAAGACATTTTCTGGTACAAACGGATGGCGGAGTTATTGTAATAAAGCACGTGGAGGTAAACTGCTTGGCACGTTGGAATCCTTGAGGCATATTTGATAACTTTTCGAATAAGTGCAGTAGCTGAAAATTAAACACCAGACAATTTATTGGTTACCCGAATGTTAGAAGTTCAAGAAACATGTCAAAAAATAAAGAAACCACTTACCTACGCCAAGGTTTCTATAAGATTCTACCACTCCCAATGTCAGAATATAAACTAGTGTTTGATCTGAGTCTGGAGAGTCAGTTCTGAACAAATCTTCTATCTGCAATGGCAATGTTGCTCAAATTGATTAGGACATCCCCTGGAGCAACCTAATTTTCATGTGGTTTGCAAAAGTAAGGCCCCTTGAAGTGCTTATTTGGCAAATCATGAATCGAATTGTGACTCTCTTTTTAAAATAGTGAATCGAGAATCAGAAGATTCACTTTATTTAGCATAATACATGATTTTATATATGTATAGAAATATAAAATATACACAACGTTTAAAATGAAATAAATATCTATAAAATTAAATTGTATGTATATATATACATATAAAATCATGAATATTAATATAAGTATTGATATTTACTTTTCTTGCACCAAACTAAAAGTTCCACAAATTATGCAAATAGAACTGAATCCCACACAGTCAATCGTAGTGAATCGCAATTGAATTTTATGTTTCACTGAATCTAAGATTCAGCAGCACGAATCGAGCCTTATTGTATGAAACTCGTATTGAATCGTATGAATCGAATCATGAATCTCAAGATTCTAACAACCATGCTTATAAACCCCTGTTCACAGTATCAGAAGAAAATAATAGAAATAAATAGGTCATTAAAGGCTCACCTCGCTATCTTTTGCCACAAGGATTCGTGTTGTGACAAATCCAATAAGTTCATCACTTTGATTGTTGGGCCGACTGCGGTCAACTGCTCCCCAGGATACAATACCATTGCCATTAGCAACATTATGGAAGAACTCAGACTCGTAACTGTGAGAATCAAAATTTGCTTCTAGTCAAAAAGAAAGAAACAACGTCATCTTAAAGCTGATCATCAGCTAGCATAAGATGAGATGAATTAACCTGACGGGGAATAGATCATTATGGATTTTCTCAAGCACCTCTAAATCAGAGGGTCGTATACGCCTATAAGATATGTCTGGACGGTGGGCGCCTTTCAAGTCTGCCATTGAAGAATATGGCATCAATCCCCAGCAAAAACTTGGAGTATTTCTTGAAGAACTTCTTCCATTTATGCCAAATCATCATGGAGGGCCATGCAGTTGATGCTGCTACCCAGTAAAGAAATTTTTCTTTGCATTAATTCCGTGTGTTTGCAAGCCAGGTAACTGCAGAGACATTAAAAGTGAGAAACTAAGGAATGTGTATAAGTCATACCAAGTTGAAAGGAAAATTGAGCTGATATGGATAGTTTTAAAGGTGACAGGTCTGATGACATTGTGTTTATCAGGCATGAACCGCATGCATTCTTTACCTTTGTTGAGTTCTGGCAAATTTTGTCACAGAAGACTACTACAACATTTTCCATCATATTTCTCTACTTCAAAGTGCATATTTGCAAATACACTCACCCAATGCTTGTATGACTAAGAAATAAGTAGAAGTAACCGGTACTTAGATTCTCTTTTTTTAACAATAAATTATGGAGATATTTGGAAACCCATGGTAGTCAACTCCAGATAGCAGTAAAATTCAAAGTTCCCTTTTCCTTTCCTCAATCTTCCAGGGATCCTCATGTAATTTTAAGTATAGTAAAAATTATATATTTAATTAGAATAGCGATTTTGGGGGCAAGGAAGTGCTCGGTTGGGGGAGAGACAGAGACAACCATAACATTTGTAAATTACGACTACCGATATTCTGCAAATATGATATGAACCAGAGGTTCCACTTTCTAGACGGCATCTTCTGTTAGCATGGCACATGAAAGATTTATTAGAATAGAAGTTTTTTCTTTTTTCATTGCTACATGCTTACATGAAGATATGTATATTCACAAATATGTATATATATATACAACTCTTCATATAAAAAGTACTACCTTGACAGCTCCCTTGACAGTGAGCTCCAAACTAGAACTAGTCTTATTGGACTCCTTAAAGCTGGTTCTTCACACACGGCCTGCAGAAGTCAACCAGATTGATCATTTTGCCAATGACAAATTTCCCAAGAAAATAAGGAAGACAAAACTATTACTAAAACACTAGAACTATACTTACCCAATGGTAAAGTTTATATATAGACAAATCACGTCAGTGTAAATTTAATATGCTAGAAAAACAATATGACAGCAAAAGCTAGCACACGTAAATTGTTTGTAGCGGCTAGCGATATGCTATTCGAAGTTATAACCAACTAATCAGCTAAAACAAGCAAAAGAAAATTTATGTCAACATTTGACTAGTGTTGCCAAGAAAAGCATATAGAATTCTAGAAAAAAAAATTAAAAAAAATAATAATTAGAGGAATTCCTCAACATAAAAGGATCACCACATAATTAGAAAAATCAAAATCAGTTAATAATTGGAAAAATCAACTGCAAAACATAATTAAGGTACAAACTACAGTTTAATGTCGAAATTAGTTAAGAATCCAACCTACAAATTAAAGTGTAATGCCAAGAGCAGATATGGGTACTCCAAGAAAGAGAGAGGGTTGTTGGGAAAAAAAAAAACAGAAAAAATGGAGAGAGAAAGAGCTGGAGAGAGAAGTTTATTGAAAAAAGTTTTAATCGGCGATCATTGACCCTAATTAGTCGATCATCGCAAACAGTGAATGGAAGCAACTTCGTGACAATGAGAGAGATCAACACAGATCTCTATAATGGCCAAAAAAGAGCCCTAAATATTTTTTTATCATTGCAAAAATACCTATATTTTTTAAGTTTGGAAAAATAGGCACAATGTAATTGCTACAGTACTCCTATATTTTTTAAAAATTACATTTATGCCCTAAAGTACCCACAAAATTATCTGAAATGTACCCATCCCATACCTAAGTCGTAAGTACGTCGTACCCAACAATAAAAAAAATAAGAAAAAGGAAGCATGCAGTCAGTATGCGTACCCATGCCAAGTATGTATCCGGTACTAATATGACAATATTTTCAGATCTACCATGCTTCATAGGGGTACCATACCCGCAAAAAAAGATGGACCGTCCGTGGCCAAAAGACGACGATGATTTTTTAGTTTGTCTCCACTATTTCCTTCTTTTATTCTATGTATTTACCCCTCTTGCATCTCATGAAAAAAAGGGGGTGAGTGAGCTTAGAGAGTGATATGGTTGTTTTTAACATGTTTTATTTGAATATCATGGCTATTTTGGTGTTCAAATGTGTAGACATGCTTCATGAATATGTGATGGTTATATTATCTCACTGTTTCATGTTTTTTACATCTCTATATTTCTTTCTATTAGATGTTTGTTGTTTGCTACTTTTTTATAGTCATATCAACTCAATGTGTTTTATGAGTGTTTTTTGTGGAGTAATTTGATACAATACTACAATTGATCCAGCTTCTCCTAGTTGATACAAAGAGTTTAGTTAGTTCCATATTTGTGGGGATCACAAGTCTATGGGTTTCATTACTTGTATTGGGATTTTGTCATAGAAATTCTACATAGGGAGATTGTTACAGAAGTAAGTTTGGTTGAATATTTTTATGAGACAAAACTATTGAGTCGATGTGTCATTTGAAGGAATGGTTGTAAGGGTAGTGGGCTTAGGTTTAGAGTTGTGAAGCATACATTTGAAGATTAATTTGCAGTCCATGTGATTCTTCGCTTCTTACAAAGGTAAAATTACATGAGCACTAGTATTAGACTGAGGACACATTATCAAATGCACCAAAATTAACCTGATTTCTACTATAAAAATCTCTTCTCTTATATCCATTAAATTGATTTTGAGAAATATATAGAAAAAATATAAAAATCCTAGTGGCCCACTCGAGCACTTTTAATTTTGGCCTGAAGAGATCCTAAAGAAGCCTGCTTGAAAGCATGCCCAAAAGGTCGTTCGAGCAAGAGTTCACCAACTGAATTCCTAAGGTCTCTACCTGAAAGTGTGCTCAAAGTCCAGCTCAAGCACGCAACAGCCTACAACCTGAAAGATGCTACAAGCTCCACTAGAAAGCATACTAAAAAACACACTAGAACATGCATACGGAATTTTGGCAAGTTCAACTTCCATTCGCCAAAACCTATATAATCTTGGCTTCCTACATCAATTAGAGGGATGTGCATGAGCAGGCCTTAGGAGAGTTGTAGAACTTTATTCTTCTTCTTCAGAAAAATATTTGCAAACCCTTGATGATCTTGATCTAAGAACAAAATCCTCCTTTTTTGCTTAACATATATGTTCTAGATTTAGATCTTCTTTGCAAAAAACAATCCTCACACTATTGCATGACACATTCATCTCTTGGTTGGTAACGAAGCCATGTTGAACAGAGATCAGAATGAGGAGCTTCATGGTTGGCTACTGAATCGAGAGAGTCTAACAAGATCAAAGCCACAAGGAGTGAAAAGCATGCAAGGAACTTTGCGGAAGGCTCATAAAGTTAGCTGAACTAGATAAAGGTTGAAATTCCTTTCATCTAGTGTCTTGTAACTGTTGACTTAATAATGGATTTCGTTAGGCTTGTTATGCCGGTAATTCTGGCTTGTTATGCCTGTGATTCTTATCTCTGGGACGGGTTTTTCTCAAAATTTCCACATAAATCGCTTGTATTTATTTATTTTAATCTTTATGCAATTTGTGGATGAATGCCTTGATTGATTCACTATAACTTGGTTAATTAAAATTTGAAATTAATAATACTTGATCAAGTTTGACCTATTCACCCCCTTTATGCACAAGCTAGAACTGACTTCAAATAAGAAACAAATCTTTATACAGATATGCTTGCAATATATATATAAGAATACATTGACATATCATATTAAATTGACGATGTACATGCATAAATAAACCTTCACAAAAATCAATAGAAACCTCAGTCATCAAATTGTGTCGTAGATCATTACTTCCATAAGTGACAAATTGAGAGAAGGCAAAATCAAAATTAGTAGGGGCAAACTGAAGCCCCATTTCACCCATTTTGGGGGGAAAAAATTAAACTAGAGTTGAAAACAATGTTTTCGAACCCAACATACCTTTGCCCTTGGAAACAGAAAAAACGAACTAAACAAAATAATTGACATTATAACCATCACCTACAACAAAATACCATAAAACTACTCGCGTCCTGACAATGTTATGGGTCTACCGACGTGGGTCCTCAAAGCCTACCCTAATGGTTGTGTTGAGCCAATCGCCCAATCATATGGCTAGAGGAGACAGCCTATCATCGTGCTTAAACTTGTAGTTGCATACTGAAATATTCATATACAAAAAATTAGAAAAGTTTAAATCCCTTTTTTCCTAAGTTGAAGACCTGATTAGCTTGAATTTGGTTGCTAAGATATTTCATATCCATATCTGGAACATTCATTACGAGTTCAAATTCCTATTTCAGCCTATCTCAATATAAAATTTTAAGCCATCCCCAACTGAACTGGGGGGAGAGAGAATTATAAACTAGCTAGCTAGCCATCTCAAACAAGTAGGACAAGAAATTCCTTGAATTACTCGATTCAAAAACAAAAACAAAAACAAAATTAATTCATACTGTATAAACAGCCATGGCAAACTAACATCACAGGATCCATTCCATATATCAACCGAACAAAGTTCAAATTTTCAATTTCAAATTCACAATTATCTTCATCAAACAGAGAAAAATTGAAGGCAAAAGCTGTTACCTCGTGCTGGAGAGAAGTGGTACCAAAGCCGCGTGAGAAAGAGTTTAGAGAGACAGAGAGAGAGACAGAGAGAGAGATCGGAGGGTTGAGATGGAGGAGAGAGAGAGAGAGAGAGAGAGAGGAAATCAGTGCTTTTAATGGAGAGAAATTTTGTTTGGTTGAATGGAAAATGAAATGAAATGAAATAGTTATAAGTATATTGGAATCAAATGCATTCTTGGCTTCGCATTACAGAGAGAGGATGCTTGATGCTTTTTCGGGTTTTCTTGCGTCACAGTCTATTCCTTCTTTCTTTCGTTCCGTCAACGACTCATCAATGGCGAAAGCATCATCAATGAACCTCCATTAGGAAAAACACAACAAGGTGCGTACACATCACATTCCTTTTCCTTTCCTAGTGGTATAACAGTGAAAGGGTAAATTACGCTGACACTTACGAAGGTTTATATTTATTACATCTTTTGAAAATTATATTTTCTTTACTCAAGTTTAAAGTTTGATTAATTTAATTTTTTTTAATATTAATTTTATTTTTATTGGGTAAATTATATGGACACTCTTTATATTTTAAAAATTATAATCCCCTTCCTAAGGTTTAAAGTAGTATTAATCAATTATTCACTCGATTGGTATTAGTCGAAACAAAAATTAATTGAAAAATAAAATTAATTAAAAAAAATGTTAGTAAAATTTTTAAATTTCTGTTTAAAATCCAACATAAACTCATTTTTTGAATTTACTTTTTTTTCTCAAATCTACAAACTGAGACAACCATTTATAAATCAAAAAAATTATCAAACAAGTTTTTATGACAGTTTTTAAAATTTTTGTAATATATAAATTGAAAATGGAAAACGAAATGGTTACCAAACAGACTTCAAGTGGTAAAAATGTCGTAAAATTAACAAATAATTAAATAACTTATCAACGTAAGAAATGACTTATCAAAAGATTCTTAGGTTATGTATGATTTGATTTTTAGAAAAAAATTTTAAAAATTAAAAATTAATTTGGTTAAGAAATAAAAAATAAAAAATAATTATCATTTTTATATAATTTTTATCTTTCGAGTGGTTAGAAATAATTTTTTACAAATTAAATTAAAATAACAATACGTATGTATATAACCTACCCAAGAGTTAAAATGAAAATTACTTTTTACCCTTAAATGATAATTATTTTTTATTTTTTATTTCTTAACCAAATTAATTTTTAATTTTAAAAAAAAAATTCTAAAAATCAAACCATGCATAGCCTAAAAAAATTTTTACAAATAATTTCTTGCGTTAGTAACTTATTTAATTATTTGTTAATTTTACGACATTTTTACTATCTAAGGCCTATTTGGTACCTATTTCATTTTAAGTTTTCAATTTATATTTATAAAAATTTAAAAAACTGTCATAAAAATTTGTTTGATAATTTTTTTGATTAATAAATTGTTGTCTTAGTTTGTAAATTTGAGAAAAAAATATAAATTCAAAAAATGAGTTTACGTTGGTTTTTAAACAGAAATTTAAAAATTTTACTAACAAAATTTTTTTTCAATTAATTTTTTTTCTAATTAATTTTTTTTCAATGAATTTTTTTTTCAACTAATACTAACCAAGGGGGCAATTGGTAATGCTACTTTAAAATTTAGGGTGGGGATTGTAATTTCTAAAATGTGAGGGGTGTCAATGTAATTTACCCAGTGAGGGCAAAATTGATATTTAAAAAAATTAAATTGCTAAGGAGAGGAACCTGTAATGAAACTTTAAACCTCAAGGAAGGAAATGTAATTTCCAAAAAGTGAGGGGAGAAACTATAATAAATATAAACCTTAGGAGTGTCAGTGTAATTTACCCAGAGTGAAAAAATCGCATAAATTCATATTTTTTTGAGTTATAATTATAAAAAATAAAAAAACAATAAAAAAAATTATATCTAGATATCTCAATATAATGCTATAATTGAAAAAAATAAAAAAAAAAATAAATAATAAAAAATAAAAAAATATTGATCGTAGCTAAAGAAAATAATCGAGTATGAAACTAGCACGTTTGTCAACGACTTACGAGAATGACCTAACCACAATCACTGCTACTGGTCTGACTCTACGCGACTTGGGATGATAATTATTTTTTATTTTTTATTTCTTAACCAAATTAATTTTTAATTTTAAAAAAAAAATCTAAAAATCAAACCATACATAGCCTAAGAATTTTTTGACAAATAATTTCTTGCGTTAGTAACTTATTTAATTATTTGTTAATTTTACGACATTTTTACTATCTGAGGCCTATTTGGTAACTATTTCGTTTTAAGTTTTCAATTTATATTTATAAAAATTTGAAAAACTGTCATAAAAATTTGTTTAATAATTTTTGTGATTAATAAATTGTTGTCTTAATTTGTAAATTTGAGAATAAAATGTAAATTCAAAAAATGAGTTTACGTTGGTTTTTAAACAGAAATTTAAAAATTTTACTAGCAAAATTTTTTTTCAATTAATTTTTTTTCTAATTAATTTTTTTTTCAACTAATACTAACCAAGGGGGCAATTGGTAATGCTACTTTAAACTTTAGGGAGAGGATTGTAATTTCTAAAATGTGAGGGGTGTCAATGTAATTTACCCAGTGAGGGCAAAATTGATATTTAAAAAAATTAAATTGCTGAGGAGAGGAACCTGTAATGAAACTTTAAACCTCAAGGAAGGAGATGTAATTTTCAAAAAGTGAGGGGAGAAACTGTAATAAATATAAACCTTAGGGGTGTCAGTGTAATTTACCAAGAGTGAAAAAATCGCATAAATTCATATTTTTTTGAGTTATAATTATAAAAAATAAAAAAACAATAAAAAAAAATTATATCTAGATATCTCAATATAATGCTATAATTGAAAAAAATAAATAAATAAATAATAAAAAAAAAATATTGATCGTAGCTAAAGAAAATAATCAGGTATGAAACTAGCACGCCTGTCAACGACTTACGAGAATGACCTAACCACAATCACTGCTACTGGTCTGACTCTACGCGACTTGGGTGACGTCCCACTAACCCTAGCTATGTACTACCCATCATTAAGCACAAACCCAGGAATAACATAAATTATAGTTTTATTTTATTTTATTTTAATTATGCCATATATGGTCTCATGATCTACTGTGCTGGAGGGGATGGCCTAACGACCGTAGCCAAAAAGCAAATTTGTTCCTGTAATTGATTTTGGATTTTTTCAATTTGTTGATTACAGTATTCTACTTGTTGATTAGCCCAATTATCATTAGGAAATATAGTAAGAAACTGGATATAATTATTACGTCGGGAAATATAATAATCTAATATTTCATTTAAAATAAAAAGAATATTCACAGAACTCATACATAATAAAAACTAAAAAGAAATACTTACAATCAATACTGCCACTATTATTTTATTATACTTCAAACGGTAGGGAGGAAATTACACACTAAGAGAGAGATAGAGAGAGTACAGACTTATAAACTGGAAAACTAAAATATTAATGCGTGCCTTCAACAAGGGTGAGGCATCCCTTAAATAGAAAAAAGAAAAGATAATGGATAAGGATGAGCGAGACAAGTAACATGTCCTGGTTGATGCTGGAGTCAATTATCTTATCTCCTCGAGATTCCCTTATCGCTTAGTGTCGGCAAAGGCCAGCTGGATGGCCAGTTGGTATGATAAGAATTCTACTTTAGCCGAAAGTAGATTTGTCGTGACATGAAGCTGGAAAGTGTTGCTGGATTAGTGAAGGACAAAGAAATGCATTATTCCGCTTTTCCTTTTCCTTTCTTGTCTTTTTCTTTTCCCATCTTTTCAGCAATAATTCCTGTTAAAGAATCCCAAAAATCTCCAGTCATTGTCATCCTCATAAGGATCGATATGGCCTTCATCTTCTAGATCTCCATGACTGGTACCAGATTTCATACTGGTATCATCCCTAGAAAATGACTGGAGAAATTGTTCTTTCATATAGTCCATACTTTTGATGACTAAATCTTGTTCTGAAAGTGCTGGATATTTTTGCCGTAATTTATTTTGAATTTGGACAAATGGATTCTGGACTGTAGGTACAGCTGGGATAAGCTCGGGAGTAGAATCCCAGCAAGCCTGTGTATGACCTTTAATTTCTTATAGAAGTTCTTAATGAGGTTTTGGATCATCCATTTTATTCCACGATTTGTAAAAGAAAACTCGTTTTAAACGGAGAATTTTATTCTGGAAGTCACATTGGAAATCCCATTTCCAAATCCATCGGATACCAAAGCGAATTACAAAATGGATGGTAGATTTGGACATGGATATGTCCTTATATCCTGGAAGGTAACTGTATGCAATCTGCTATTCTTTGAATGTGTTGCGAACATCTTCTGGAAAGGCATCTATCTGAATACCAAATTTATCTCACCAAACGTGAAACCAGTTTGGGAGATCGTTTTGTAAAAGTTCGGGAAGGACACGAATGAACCAAGAATGGTTCTGTGGGGGATTCATATAATAAAATGCGTGAGAAAAAGCATCAATATAATCCCAATAGCTGTAACGAGATTCCTTATTACGGATCTCAAGGATACGGGTAACATGAGGATGCATGCCCCAAGCCGGCATCGGCAAGATCTGCTAGATAGTAGCTTTGCTATAATTAATTGGACTGGCGGTACGATTAGGCTCAGCCAGAGTATGTTTGAAATCAATAGAGGCAGTATCAACAAGGATCTGCTCATAAATGTATCTGTACTGATCAAAGTGGGGTAAAGAATGTTGAGTAGTCAAATACCTCCTTTTAATTTCCCATGGATCTTTCATCCATTGAATATCAGAATTTTCAATATAGAGGACGGTTTCCTCAATGATAAAATTCTGGGCATATGGTACTGGAGGAGTTAGGAGGACATCTTTAGCAGTTTGGCTAGATTCCCCGTTTTTACTAGAAAAGGCATGTAAGCCTGGAAATTCTGTATGATAGGGATTGGATCCCCTTCCTCGGCCCCTTCTGCCTGGGCCGCAGCCTCTACTGGACATTGTTGGGACCCTACAAATATTCGCAGGTTAGAAAGTCGGGAAGAGAATTAGTTTCTTCTTTGATATATTCAATATCAAAATCAAATACTGAAAGTTGGCCCTGCCATGTGGCAAAAATTTGTTTTTGAGCCAAAATTTTCACATCTTTTTTAAAAATCTGTTTAGCGGCAAAACAATCAACTCTAATTAAAAAATGTTGGTTTAGTAAATCATCCTGGAATTTCAAGACACATTTAACAACGGCTAAACATTCTTGTTTAATCGTCGGATAATTTTTTGCAGCTTGATGCCAAATACCAGAATTAAACCTTAAAAGTTCTTCTTTTTTACTGGTAGGATTAAATTGTTTAAGTATGCCATCATAATCAAGATT